CAGCAGAGGCAGCAGCAGCAGCAGTCAGCGATGCAGCTGGAAACGAGCGCATTGGTGACCAGCGGGACTTGCAGCAGCAGCAACAGCAGCAGCAGGAGGAACAGCAGCAGCAGCAGCAACAGCTACAGTCGCGGGAGCAACAGGAAGCGCAGCAGCAGCAGCAACAGCAGCAGCAGCAGCAGCAGGGGGAGCCTTCCGTTTTGCTGCCGACAGCAGCAAAGCCGGCAGCAGCAGAATGTTGGGTTGAACCGAATATACTGACTCCTGCTGCTGCTGCTGGTGCTGCAGCAACACCAGCAACTGCTGCAGCAGCAGCAGCATCTGATACTGCTGCGGCAGGTGCTGCAGCAGCAGCAGCAGCAGCTGCAGCTGCTGCTGCTGCTGCGAAGAAGCCAGAAGAGGCAGACACAGCAGCACAAGGGGGGCAGGGCGGCTGCAGCTCAACAGCAACCACATCCAGTGCAGCAGACCACACGGATGACAGCAGAGCGAACGAGTTGCTGCTGCTGAAGCAGCAGCAGCAGCAGCAGCAGCAGCAGCAGCAGCAGCAGCAACCGCAGCGAGAGGAGCAGCAAACTGCTGGCACGCAGGAGACGCAACAGACACCACCCGTTCAGGTGCAGACAGAGCAAGAGCAGCAACAGCCGCAGGAGCAGCAGCAACCCCTGCAGCAGCAGCAGCAGCAGCAGCAGCAGGACGCGGTGGAGCCCCAGCAACAGCAGGAACCTCAGCAGCAGCAGCAGCAGCAGGAGTCTCAGCAGCGGCAGCAGCAAGATGTGCTGCCAGAGACAACAACGACAGCAGCAGCAGCAGCAGCAGCAGCAGCAGCAGCAGCAGCAGCAAACAGCTGCTACAACGACTGCACGTTGACAGGTTTAGTACAGAGAGAAGAAAACCAGGAAGAAGTGCTGCTGCGGCCTGGGCTTGTCTCTCCTGCTACCACCTCAGCGTGAGGCGTAGCTCAGCAGCAGCAGCAGAGGAAACGAGGGGGAGCGGGAGAAGCAGCAAAAGTATATCTCTTGAGTCGGAGCAGCAAAGGTCTGCTTCGATTCGCAGCAGGCTGC